TGTGAAATGTCCAAATTGTGCTTATTATGTAAGTTATATCATGCAATTGAATCATTTTTCAACAAACAATAATATTTTATCCGATAATTTCCAGTGCACGTTACCTTACGGCCATAATAGTGAACATTGTAATTATGATAAGTTTTCTCATGATATTCCCTATTTAATATATAACTCACTTTATTTACCTTTCTAATAGCAACTATTCATGGAAATATGAATTTAACAACCTTTACTTGTGAAGATGACGACTTTGAATTTGAAGGTGCAGTATAAATTTAAATGATTATGTATAGTTTGCCAATTTTTACTGAAATTGAGCCAATCAAATTACTCTTTACTGAAAAAAGAAATAAGATCAACTCTAAATAAACACACTCTATAAGTACATGTAATTGTTTGTATTAGAGAGAATTCACTGTATTTGCCGTTCGGCAAAATAATTTATATATTTTTGGTCATTAGTCAAAATATCAACGTTGTTTATGGAATATCTCAGTAATATAAAATCTACCAAATAATAATTTTTGCATGTTCGTCTAATATCAACGATTATAATTTTTTTTATTAGGCCATAGATTAAATGTTGGCGACAGGGGTGATTTTGTTTTGTGCAACAAAGTAAGTTTAATAATTTCTGACTGTCAAGCTCATCTGCATAAGCTTTTAATTCTAATCATATGTTTATTATTTAGCTGTGTGAAGGTGTTGGGCGTCATCGCCATATAGATTATTGCAAAGATCCCACCTGCGAACTTGGAGGTGCTAAAAAGGAAGGCCTTCTTGAGCATATTACAGGTGTTTATATTTTTATTACATAATTGACATTTAATTTATTTAGTTACTTATTATTATTGTATTTGTAACTTTTACAATTATAGCAAAAATTGGCCCTTTCCCAAATAAAAAAAAAGACTATGTATCTCATCGTGTTTTTTGGGAACGAACAGGGTTTAAAGGTACTTGTTTTTAAATGATTGATTTAACATTTGTCACACTTTAAGGTTCATTATTAATTTCATAAAATTTAGATCCTTATTCTACGAATGATCGTGAAGAATTCAAAAAATGTGATCATGAATGCATTGATGAAAAGCATCATAATAAAGTTGAAGGAAAAAACCCGGTTAAATCTTACTGTACACAAAAAATTTTTCATCCTAGTTTGGATCATACTTCCAACACTACTCCGGATGGTACGGGTTATATTTCAGCCGATGGACATCATGTAAGCTTATCATTTATTTTGAATCCACATTTATAGACTTCATGTTTGTCATTTTTTTTAAGCTAATGACTACCATATGATTAGTTTTCATGTGAAAATCCAACGATAAGTGTCGGAAATTTTCACATTATATTTGTAATTGACAAGAGTGGTTCAATGCGAAGTACAGATTGTAAACCACTTTGCAACATCACTAAGCTATTAAGTTTGAAACACAACCATAATAACCGATTAGGTGCTGTTATGGAAGCAGTATTTACATTTATAGAAACTAGAAAAAAATCACGGAAATCGACACAAGTTGGGCAAATGGCAATCGATCGAGATACTGTATCTCTTATTCTTTTTAATGAAAAAGCCACCGTCGCATTCGAAAATAGAACTCTAACAAACTCGGAAGAGCTTCTACGCGTGATGAAGGAATATACTGCAGAAGGTGGTACTAATTTTGCAAATGGGATTAACAAGGCCACAAAACTAATTAAGACGCATCGTGATCCTTCGAAGTAAGCTGACAAGTTGTATTCCCAATCAATTTTAAATAGATATTTAACAAATAATTTTATACCTTTACAGAATCAATTTAATACTTTTTTTATCAGATGGTTGTGGTTCAGCTCCAGAAGAAGAATTACGTCATCTTTGTCAGCTAGAAACAGATTTAGGGTAAGTCAAAATTAATAACAAAGTTATATTTTTCAAATTATATAATAGTATTTAATAAATAATTATAAATAATTTACAGAACTTGTTTATATTTGTATACAATTAAGTTTGATGGGAAATCTAATAATTCTATCAATTCGAGATTTATGCCGTTTAACCAAAAGTCTAATAACTCTAATGTAAATTCATTAGAAAAAATGGTCGATATCGCAAAAGAATATCTTCCAAAAGCATATGATAAAGATTCTTTAAAGTGTGGATATGTTCATGCCGTTGATGAAATCAATTTAATTAACCATTTCACACAGGTTGCTCAGAGTCTTAGAAAACATAAACCAACATTATTGAGAAGATAAACAAAAATTAAACAGTTTATTTGATTTTCTGTTTCTGCTTTTTCTTATTGCTTTAAAATATATAGATATACAGTATCCTCAAAATGGTTAGCAAGTGTTAACCAAAGCATTGAGAATTAGCTAGGGCGGCCCCAAAGTACCAGTGACGTAAATCAATTAATACATATCAGATATATTATCATTTACGATTAATTAATAATACAGTATAGCATTGTCTGATTGGTGAAATGTCTGTGGCGTTCATTACGTCATCAGTACTTTGGGTGCTTCTCTGGCTAATTCAAGCATTGAATACGCAATTCATTTCATAATTGACTGTGTTAATTTATCAGTAACTAAAGAGTTGAAAGGATCATGAAGTGAAAGCAACTGTGAGAGAGTGTATGCATAATGCTGGCTACATTGAACATAGGCAATCTGAAAATTTAGTGTTTATAAGTGAATGTATGTAAATAAAGGTTATTTTTTAATTTGTCTACATGTACATGTATAACATAAATATTTTATTATTTTATTTTCAGCCGAGGCTGCCGTAATTTATTGATTGAAACTTTAAATGAGCATAATTTATCAGTTGGGTGTAAATATATATTTATTATTTGCTTCATTTATTAATAAATATCATGCAACAATAATAACAACCCTGTTTTTTCATATTAGCATTCTTAATCGTTGATTGCGGAAGAATTGTAGATCTTACATTTAGAACATTATTACATGGCATGAAATTTAGTGAAATTATCGAACGTAGTGATGATTTCTGTGACAGTTCTTATGTTAACCGTGAATTCCTTAAGTTCCTTGGTCGAAATTAACCAAAATAAAATTATTATGAACAAATGCAATATTTGGTTCAACAATTTTGTTTAAGAATAAAATTTTCATTTATAGAAATCCTACCAAAGGAATTGGATATTGAACGTATATACCCTACATTGATGCAGTATATTACCGGTAAAGTAAGAGAACAAATGGAGGAATATGAATGGCTGATCGATTTAGAATTTCAAACCGTGATAAATATATTTGATCTCGTTATTAAAAAGATTATTGATTTGATTCAAAGGTATTGTGCGCGGACAAGTTACGCAGTTATGTTTTTAAAAGGCGAGTTTAGCGAAAGTCAATACTTAAAAACTCAAATTCGACGATATTTTGCGACACAAATCCCAATTATTGCCTTTCCTAAACATTCCATAGCAAGTATTAAATATTCTCAAGATAATTGGTTTATTTCTTATTCTCATAATTAATTTCAATGAAAATGATCTTATTTTTCAGATTAAAGCCATAGAACTAGTTGCTTTAGAAAATGGTCTAAATATGGCTATTGTCCAAACTCGAATTTTATAATACTGTTATGGCATTGAACGACAATCCATCTGAAGTCCCTGGTCTGCTAATTTTTTTCGCCATGATTAGGGTACCAATACCGTCTCTAGTGATATCATCCGTGATCCGTGTTAAAATTAGTTAAAATCAATAAATTAACTATTGGCTAATATAATTGTACATGAGAATCTGCAAACTAGGCACAGGTTCAATTTTCAATATTTAAAATTTATAACATAATTAGCAGAAACCAAGGTTTCCATTGTTGGAATCAAAAAAAATGTCACTCTTTTATGTTCAATAAAATTAAGTTTTATCATGATTAATCAAAATATTCTTTGCAGAAAAATTTTGCGATAACATGAATCTGGCCAATTGGACTACAAGATTTGGTTTAGCATAACTAGAGATGTGAGCGCAATACCGTAATTGGTCGTATTTATTTTTACAAAAACTCAATTATATCGTGACCCAATAATCCGAATTGGATAATTTTAATACCATCGATTCGTTTCGAAAAGACAAATCGAATGGTATCAAAATTATCCAATTCGGATCACTGGATCACAAGATATTCGAAAAAAAATAATTTAATGAATTGCGGCAAATTGCTGCAAACAATGCCGTTATTCATTGAATCTTTTTTTTGCGAATATCCTGTGA